TTATCGATCTTGCCTGTTATAGCGAGGATGTTATTGATTTGTGGTTTATTAGGGAGATAAGTGTGATATCAGTGTGACACCCATTTCATGTGTTGACTCATTACCCTTGTTTCAACACCTGGTGTCATCACTGATTTTCATAGATCCGTTCACCGCTTGCGCGCATTTTCGGAATCTATATCGGTTGACAATCGAGACAGGCTATTCTCTGGCGTTGACGTCTTAGGATATTGATAGAGTTATTAATTCCTCCTGAAATATAGGCCGATGTACAAACGAGCTGACAAAGACACTGACCACATTTATAGCGTATCTTGGATTCAAACCGAAGATCATAGGATCCTTGCACGACTAACACACTCACAAATGATTGCAGCGATTTAGACTCCAGCGCCACCATTACCCCTTAGTGATGTTCTGTTTTAGTGTTGAGAATATTTAGAGTAGGTGGCATATATATATATATATATATATACAGCTGTTTCTGAAGTGACAAATTACGTGTGTGTTTGTATCCAGGGCCTAGATTTTCGAAGCTCGCTTAGCGCTGAGATAGTCGTAAGTTAGTGTTAATGCATGGTACTTACGGCTACCTTAGCGCTAGGAGAGCTTCGAAAATCTAGGCCCTGGACTGCCAATGTCTAATGACGAATTATCAGGTTTAACAAATTTCTTGTTGCCGAATAATTGATTGTTGAACTCCGTAATCATCAGTAGCACGGTGATTATTGAAATGATGGTGACTAAACCAGACAAGCCATAACCGCACAGCCACATCCCACAGTCTGACCACCTACTCTGTAAACTGACTTGAACATAGGCATTATGGCATAAGGTTTCTCTCTGAAGAGAGAAGACCAACACTTTGTCTCTGGAAAGAATAAATGTCTCCATTTAAACTGAAAAGGATCCCTGTGGTATTACAGTAGTGTGCTGGGCTGATGTAAAGTAATACGGTTCGGGAAGTGTGACAAAGATGGATCTGTCCAAAGCAAATTGATGCGACATCCGCGACTGGGACAATAACAAATAAAGACATTTAGAGATAATTATGTCGCATACATTCCCTTTCACAACGTTCTGGTATCCATGGGGAAACTATTCCCAAGACTATCCACAGTAACCTTTTCTGTTGTGGACTCCAGCAACTGCACGTGTCTGATTTACAGTACGTTACTAAGGGCACTTAACTCAATAATCATCTTGTTCGAACCCCTAAACTGCCAACACAAACGACAACATATATACAATGCATGATATTATAATCAATCACACAACACACTGGATACAACAGGAAAATTTCATGACAGAGTTGAGTACATTCTGATTAATGGACATGGCATGACTGACAATTCCCATGTTTCTGACTTCTGTGTTCATCGCGTCTCGTGAAAATCGTTTTGAAGCAACTCCAGCTGATTGTGGTGAACGATTTGTAACCATGCAACCAATAGGCTAAGCAAACAGTCAAAGTGGTTGAAAGTTTATCCTCCAAAAAAGAAGCCAGCTCGAGTATTCTGGGTTTTTTTGGTGCTTCCAATGAAATCTTACCGATGAAGGTACTCCAGTAAAGGTCAAACATTTAATTACCATAATCTGCTATTAAGATACGGCAGCTATGCGGAATATTAAGGCACTGAATCACTGAAACACTGATCGCCCATCAGGACACAGCACCTGTGTTCAAGTCTGTCGGCGCCATATCTACAATGCATGACTCTGTCATGATCTCAAGAACATCCTCTGTATATACCAAGTTTGGCACCGTCACTTCCTCTTCCCTAATGTGACTGAAATGTCATCAAGCATTATGCAAATTATAATAACAAACGATCAGGTATGGAGGAACTTTCAAACATCGGTAAGGAAGCTTTCCTCAACAGTGAGATGAAGACAACACAGTAACGTTAGAGATTCTGTTGAACACACATTTTCAACCAAATTCATCAAGGGAGTCCATCATATTTAGCCACAGAATGTTTTAGCCACTCCCCGACTACTTCGGCCTGGTAAGATCTGGAAACCCCTGGCTCCTGAGAGTCCCATGTCGTGTGAAGAAAGCATTTCGATCTGCCGCAACGGTTCCACATCGACTTTACCATTGATTTTCTTGAATACCTTTACGTCCCTTGGCCAGGTAGTTATCACGACAACTCATTACCCTATGTAGTCAGAGAGCACATTCCAAGTTAGTAAATAGGGATTTGGGTTTGATGAGACATTGAATAATAGTTTTGCTTTATCACGGTTCATCAAGTTTAATTTGGAGGTAAGTTTGAAGTTGTACGTTTGATACATATTTGCTGACGAGCTTGGTTATGATGATGGCTCAAGAGGACGTATAATAAGGGTGTATTTAGGATTCGAACCCACGCTCGGAAATGAGAGGTATTTGATCACGAGGACAATACTAGCACCCACAGACCCTGAACCATAGTATGTTCCTCTTCCTTCAAGTCCTGACTATATTGCTCTAAATGAAACAGGTGCAGACTATGTTTAACCGTCTTGCGACGGGATGACATTGGACTGACATTGCAGATGACGCCGATGAAGGTGGCCTGTATCAAAGCACACGGTGAACACTCTCGGAGTGAGAAGGAGCTTTCTCTCTATGCACTTTTGCTTGTTACTGTACCTTACCCGTGACGATCCCGGTTAGAATTGATCATTAGCAAAACATCCTTGTTGTAAGAGACGAATAACGGGATCGCGTAGTCAGGCTCGCTGATTTGGTTGACACATATCACATGTGCTACAGATGAAGGTTACTGAGGGTAGATACAATAACTGAGGTACATTGAGAGGTTCTATTTCAGCACATGAACTTGGCAATTTGCAGCCTTTCTTATCGTTTCTCATATTACAGATCAAATATGAATAACAAACGCGTAAACCAACATATAAAGTTCATTATATTTTTACAATAATAGAAAATGGCAAAATACCCAAATGAGTTTGAGTAAGGTGGGTACAATGTATTTGGCTATTCGAAGGAAAATTAGGATACCCAATCGAGATGAACACAAACGAGTACATAACTCAATGACTAAAAAGGTTACCTGTAGCTCTGAACTGAGACATTGTTTTCCCAGGTGATGTAATTAAATAACATGTTTTGAACCATTTTCTTTGGACTGCATATTTCACAATAAGCTATGCCTTTGAAAACAACGATTGCGTGTCAGTGCTAATGAGATGGATTTGGACCTATCTGACCATATACAGTCTCTGCTTCGTGTGGTGCCGATACTCGGTTTACTGTGTACTAAATAATGTAGGTTTCTTCCAACTTCCATGTTAAAATTGGAACGGTGGTGTAGACTAGTGGTTAAAGAGTTCGCCGAAGACCCGAGTTCGATTCCTCACATGGGTACTATGTGTGAATCCCATTTCTGGTTTCCCCCGCACTGGTATTTCTGGAATATTTCTTAAAGCGTCTTAAAACCATACTCACTCACTCACTCCATGTTCAATTGAGATATGCATGTACATCCACAGACAAGTTTGAAAGGAATGTAAATGAATGTTGAGAAAACTTCGAAATACCATGTACTGTAACGCTTCAACCTACAGTGGTGAAGAGAGGATGAACGGGAAGGGGGTAAATGATGAGAGACGATATGTCATCAATGATGCACACTTCATCTTATATGCCTCAGCACCTCCTCCAGTTTATAGCCTCATATTCCATTGATTGTCATTATCTATATTCATTGGACGCTCTGCACCAGTCCTTTGGGGTAATCAAATTTTTCCACGAGAACAGGAAATTAGAGTCTTGCTAGAACCAATATAGGCATTCTCTACAAGGATCCCTTTCAAACTACAGCAACTACAACGTCTTCACTGGCGCCCCGTCGTTGCAATGACGTCATTGACGGAGATATCGATCGAAATGTCATCGGAACCTACCAAGCCGGCCTTATGAATCTCTGAAAACATTAATATGCCCCAGTAACGTAGTGTCCCGAAGTTATCCGACTGAGTTAGAAGGGCGACCATAATGGGAGTAATTGAGCGAGGAGAGAGTTTCAGGACAGAAAAAGGGAAACTATTATATGTCGGAAATCAATACCTTTGATTGTTTAATTACTGTCGTTCTTTCAAGACATAATAGGTATTTTCAAGGATGATTTATTAGGAGTGTACGTAGAAAAAAGCTTTGTTTATGTTGCCTAATTGTTATTCAGCTTCGATTTATTTTGTACTTCTTCGAATATAAGCCTGTGGTTTGTATCTTGTTTTTATCGACATGGTTGCTAATAAACAATGCTTCATGACAGTCGAACTGTCTAACTGTATTTGTTCCTGTTTCCAAGGGAGTATTTTCCACTGTGTGTGGACTTTTACTGACAGCCCTCAGCTCAGTCGGGATTCCAGAATGGATGAATTTCCATGGTAACCACGAACATAATATGGGAATAATGGTTTACGTTTTCTTCTAAAATGGCTTTGCGACTGAGAGACCGTATGACATTTAGACTTGGGCTTGGTAAACAGTAGGGCAAACATTCGAATAATAATTGTCTTTTTGTTTTATTTTAACCCCCATCAAACATGGTGTCGACGTTTTTCATTTGCCCGACTGTTTTGTCATCTATCGCATAACGTATTATTATGTTTGTCAATTGTTATTTACAACAGTTTGTTGTAAGACTTATAGGTACAGCCTTTTGAACACAGACCGGAGAAATCCTATCACTGGTCTACAGTAACAGAAATTTGTTATTGCTATGTTTTTATGAGTTCTGTTTCAAAAGTGTCATTGAATACAATATAATTACAGTTATTTTAATATATGTATTTTGAAGAAAGCCTTAACAGTTATTTGTCGGTTGAATAAAAACAGTGAACCCGTGTTACAATCGTCAGTGTTCGGGGTTGAAGTTCGACTTTAGCCAAAGTCCTCTCTCCCTCTCTTAAATTTTCCCACATTTCAAATCACAGTTTGACACCAATACTGCTGAAGGAACCCACATATTCTTGTGTTCTTTCAGATTACGATCGGAGCATGATTCCAGAATCTCATCGTTTTAACCCAACCAAATGCTTCACTTTCGTCACCGACTACAACGAGGACTCCGGTGTATTCACCAAGCCCGCCATGCAGATTGCACGTGAGTCACGAGCCAGTGTTCATTTCAGCGCCGTTTACTGACAGCTGTCAGTTGTGTTTGGCAGGTGTCATCGATTCATTTGGCTTCGTCAATGTGGACAATAGAAAACTGGCTGTTATACTGTGCTTGTCTGCAAATGACACTGTGATGACGTAGTACATGTCAGAGATATATGATCTTGTTGACAATATGATTATTGACATTTGACATCCCTGGGTGAAATTACGAAATAATGAAACTTATTTTTGATGGTGACCTTACTTCTATACGAGAGTATTGATCCAGTTTCATTTTTCATTAATATCATTTTGTCTTTACGAACTTTAATCAATGTTCTTAGGTATGATAGCCTGTGGTAAGGTGTCTGTTTCGTACATTCGCGGTAATTTTAATTTGTGTCTTACGCCAAACTCGGCAATAGTCCAGAGTTATCGTGAATGTCTGTGTTCGAATCTAGACCCGGCAATCCAGTGTCTGAAGGCTCGGAGAACAGCGACATACAATCATCCATGATAGACTTGACAATCTGATACTCAGACAATTCGCTATAATACAAACCACACATGACCAATTGCAGGAGTAAACCAAACTTTAGGTCAATAAAATGTAGTCTCACAATAGCATTGTGTTGCTTGAACAGCGTTAAAAAAAGATCCTATACAAAACTAAACAACATGTATCAGTCTCGGTTCTCCGTCGGTCAGTAAATATTAATTATAGTATTCATACAGTTTACATTGTTTATGTTACATTAACACGTTCTTTGTCTTGTTAATCGTGCCAACACGATCCTTGTGTTCTTAATGATATCATGTTAACACATTCATTTTTATTATACCTTTTTGCCTTGTACTGTTGATATAATATTAACATGTTCCTTGTATTGCTTGGATTGTATTATTAACACGTTCCTTGAATTAATACCCTGTCCTTTGTATTGTTGATAATATAAAATGAACACTTTCCTTGGGCATAGCGATTTTATTGCACACAGTATTGCAATTCCAGTTTAATTTGGTACTCTGTCCCAGTAGACATACGTCGATCATCAGTAATTTACACTTTTGGTATGAAAGGATGGATCGGGTATACAACCACGCACGGATACCACCCCACATAGTACAGCCATTCTATTTTGGTAAATGACCGCAAGCAAATCATCATTGAAGCTTCGTGTCGGAAATGGCATCAACATCTCCAATCACCATTGTCCGCACCAACTCAACATATCATTTTTCTCGCCCCTGTAATCAACAACCAGTCAGAAGGACTCTTCTAAACAAGACATGGATACGAATTTGCCAAAATTGCAGCCTCGTTCAGACGAGGGACTCGATATGTGAAAGCAACAACTTATAATGATATTCCAGGGGTAGAAATGTCTCCGATACATCAAGAGTGGGCAGGGAAATCTTGAGTGCGCTTAGCTGTGTTCCTGGGTGTATTTGAGGCGATTCACTCACGTCACTAAACTCGCATTTTGCTTCAAACATGAAAGAATGACTTTGATTAAATGATTAGTGTATAACGGCAATTGTCAAGGATAGTACAAAGAAGAAGTGTCCAAACTTCTTTAGTCGTTTACAAAATATACGAATGTTACAGATAATCAAACCAGCAGTCGAGCTGTGATCCAGTAACTAATATACTATTTAATAAAAGAAATGCATAACCCAGAAATCTGTTGCGAAAATGTATTTTAAAACATGTATAACTCGTCCACAAATCCTCGTCCAGACTTTAGGAAATTAATTTAGGGGAAGGAAATATCTATGCAACCAAGTGGATAATTTTAGATAACGGAGCGCCATGGTGACGACGTAGCACGGGCCCGACGTCGAGTCTCCTGGCTCTCAGTCCAATCTCTCTCAACCTGTTCCGTACAGTTTGACCGGATATCCTCCGAAATCCAGGCACCCTGGCTGCTGTGCTCTCACCCGTGTCAGTACGATCACGCAAATGTAGTACCCGGATGTACCGATCTTGGGCTACAGTGGTGACTCGAAGTCTGTCTGTACGGGGAGGGTCATTTGTTATACCTGTTTGGTTGTAACGAGCTGTAAGCCGTGATATCGTGCCCAGACTAACATTCAGACGCCTGGCAACACAAGATTGATAATCTCCAACGTGCATTCTTTCAATGGCGATGTTCCATGTCGCAGCGTCAAGACGTGGCGTAGTGATTTGGCCTTCAAAAACGAATGCCGATTTCCGAAAGTAATCTGGATTTTTATAGCCAGACAGTGCATGCACTCTGCTCACAATTTCAACTGGATGGGGATTTCTGTTGCGTTGTGGTGATGCCTTTTTAATCCTTGTAAGAAATCTCATCAAAATCAACATTTTCATGTAAAGTCGATTTTTTTACTTGTGCAATTGTGTAAAATCATGTTATTAACACTTTTGTTACATATTTTGACGACTGCTTGAACACAAAACGTAATTGATAGATTTTTTAAAATACAAAACGCCTATGCGTTTCTTTTTTGGGGAACGTATACTTCCAAGTCAACTCGAGCAAACATGCTACTCTACTCGCGGTTATATATACAGCTGCAGTCGAAACACGCCATAGTAACAGTATAGACGTAAACACATATAGGTAGACATGGAGAACAGTGGACCCCAGGGGACCAATGGCGTTTGCCTGGACATCGGGAGTGATTACCAGCAATGTCCAGGGGATATTGATTTAGTCTTAAAGGTCCTAATATTAAGTAATTAATTGCTATGTTGTGCAAAGGCCCAATAGATTACAGTGTCAGAAATAATTTCCTTCCTAATCAATGCATTACAGTCTTCATAAAGTCCCCACACGTTATCCGTTGCGATTGCTATGACGTCACACTCTCACTGAATAATAATAACAACTGTAAACACTTAATATTGTCTCTTGTACAGGGTGGTCAGGTCACAGTTTAAGACTTCTCGGAATTTCGATTCACGCCGTCATGCAAGTCAGAGGAACTGTATTTCTTTCGTACAATGACAGGCATATGGAATTTCCTCAGGTTCCGCAAGTGTGATCCTTTTTCCAATCTTGGTTTTGTCGTTATATGCCTGAAATGACGCCGGTTAAACTCGCCTATTTTCCAAAGGACAAAGACTCATGCTTACTGCCCTAATATGTCGCTGAAACACAATTGTTCAATTTACTCGATCCTGTGGCTATACCTGTATGACGTCATGTATTATGACGTCATTCTATGCGTTGGTAAGGCGTTATGATTGACGTTATCGGGTGGTCACGCTCGCTAAGTTGGTTGATGTAAGTTATCGCGCCCCGTTACTTAGATCGATGCTCATGATGTCTGTCACTTGATTGACTGGTGCAGACGTGAATATTTACAGATTTCTCAATCTCCCCCACACCCAAATCCCAAGCCACCCCAAACCCCTCCCACATATAGCTTGAATATCACTGTGTGGCGTTAAACAATAAATATATAATAAGAAGCAAGGAACACGGATGAAGCTACTAGGGCTGCGCAATATAACCGGTTTACCGGTATTTACCGGTTCAGACATGAAAACGATACGTATCGCGATACGCTGATCGAAAACCGGTATTTTGACATGCATTCGGAAAACTTCGGAAATCTTCGGATATTTCCGTTTTTTGAATGGTTCTTTTCCCCGTTTCATTAGTGCCAAATGTTACTTACATTTTTATTTTGTCATGATTAAAAGTTTTTATAAAAGGTTAATCAATCATAGTGATTTTGTTGTGTTTTTGCTTTATAATCCAGCATTAACTCGATTATAAGTAGTTTTTGTTAAAAAAAATAATCCTTGCAATATATTGCAATACATATCGCAATATATGCTTCTGCATCGCAATATATCGCAATATGAAAATTTTCTGCAATACCCACGCCTAGAAGCTACCTACAATCTCTTATCTACCACTGGTGTAGTTAAATAACCCAGACATGACAGTTTAACTCTAGCAGGATGAAAGAAGCGTGTGTTCCTCAACTCCTTTTGAGAAGTATATATATGACCTCTGTGCCATTGTTCGGTTGATATTATACAAGGGTACTCGTGCATGAGGTTACAATTTTCAAGTGTTTGTGAATATAGCTTTAGTATGGCTTCATGGGTTTACCATTGTCACAGTATGAATCCAGACTTGATACTTTTAACTTATAAAGAATGAAAATTGTATTCAGTTGTCAAAACTAATGTGTTTCCGTATTACATTGGATACGGTTAGCGGGATATCCACAGCTTGGGTTTGAAATTGCGAAGTGGAAGACTGTCATTGTGATCACTTTCTGATTGTTTTCTCATCTTTGTACCTTTAACGTCACGTAATGGCGTCACGATTGTTGTGGTTGGCCAGGGCAATTCTGAACGTGCAAATTATCAAGGAAATGTCTGCTTAGCTCAATGCCATCATTCAAAATTATAAAGAAAGTACCTCAATTATACTTTGGTTTCAGTCAGGGAAATCACTCGACTCTGTTGATTCCAGCAGCAGAATAAACAGATTGGACTGATTTGTCCATTAGTTATAAACATCCTGATATCAATTAAGATCAATTTCATGTGCGCTGTGGTTGCTAGGATACGATATTTATATTCCTGACTAGTCTGAGACGAAGATCCTAAGCCAGACTTCGTAACCGGGTTCTAGAAACGTTTCGAGACGATGTCTTGGCAGTGACAGCATGCCGTTATTTCGTGTATGATTTATCTTGTTCACAAAAAAGACCTTTCTTCCATCCTTGACAATTTGTGTGGGCAAGGCCACAGCTTTAAGCTCACACCAGTTAATATGTTTTTGCCACTTCGAACATCCGATCCCCGTTTTTAAACTTTTAGTTCAATTACAGATACCTGATCTGCTCCAGAATCCCTCGGACATTAATGAAAGTACATATACTCAAATCTGCCAGGTGAGGTGAGGTGAGGTGAAATTGGGTTTTACGTCGTGCTTGAGAATATTTCGCTCATATGACGACGTGCATGCGTGTGTGTGTGTATGTGCGGCTGCT